ACAACCAGGTGTCGGAAGTTGTTTGGTGCTTCAGTTGCTCCACATAAATGTTACACGACAGAGTACACCAACAGCTGACAGAGCAGACCATGAGCTTCCAGGAATTAACACTCGTTGGTTGCAGGTAGGGAGGTAGGTAGGTAGGTAGGTAGGTAGGTAGGTAGGTAGGTAGGTAGGTAGGGAGGTGGGTGGGTGGGTGGATGGATGGATGGATGGATGGATGGATGGATGGATGGATGGATGGATGGATGGATGGATGGATGAACACACAGAGAGATAGAGACTGCCTCGTGATATAAAACCCACTTGTTTCCTTGTGAACCAACCCACTGTACTTGCATGTCTCTTCTTCTGCCCCATATCTTTTCCAATTTCTCTCCCCCCAATATTGTTTTGTTCCTGGAGTGAACACTACTGCTTAAGCTGAACAAACAACCTTTCTTCGGCAGGTCTGTGTGGGCAAAGTTAATTATCTCGAAATCGCTTCCAGAAGCCTCCAATCAATTTATGAAAACAAAAATTAACTTTCCATATAAACATAATTACAAGGAAACAACAGTATCCCAAGCTGGTATGAGTGTTCTCTTGGAGGCTGGGAAAGGCGCCAAATGAGTTCATTAGGCAATGTAATTAATAACTCTCTCCCTCTTGCTTTGCGAAGCTGTTTATGGCCCTTAGAGTGGAAGGCAGTTTCTCTCTCTCTCTCTCTCTCTCTCTCTCTCTCTCTCTTTTTCACACACACACACACATACACATTTGACAGGTTTAAAAGGTGTTTCAATGATCAAGCATACAGGAAGCATTGAAAGTATGCAGACAAGTGAAAAAAGCACTGTAAAGTTGAGGCAGAACTACATGTTACTCTTATGTGAGGCTAGCTTAGTGGTTAGGTCTCTGACCTTGGAGCGAGAGGTTGGGAGTTCAATTCCCCCACTGGGCCTCCTTGACAGGGGCTAGACTTGATGATCTGTAGAGTCCCTTCCAGCTCTGCCGTCCTAAGATGATGATAGTGATGATGATTTATTTATACCAAAGAAGGTGTCTATCTCCAGACTAGATCAGAAGGAAAGCTCTTTAATGTCTCTAGACTGAGAGCAAAGACCAAAGTCCAGATGAAATGCATGCTGGACTTCCTCTTCGCCGATGATGCAGCCATTGTTGCCCACTCTGCTGGACCTCCAACAACTCATTAATTGCTTTACCAAGGCCTGCCAAGGTTTTGGATTAACAATCTGCCTGAAGAAAACACAAGTCATGGGCCAGGTCATGGACTCACGTCCCTCTATTACCATCTCCACACAAGAATTGGAGGTTGTTCATGACTTTGTGTTCCTTGGCTCAAGGATCTCTGACACTCTGTCCCTAGATGTCGAGCTGGATAAATGCATTGGCAAAGCAGCTACCATGTTCTCCAGACTCACAAAGAGAGTATGGCTTAATAAGAAGCTGACGGCATATACCAAGGTCCAGGTCTATAGAGCCTGTGTCCTGAGCATACTCCTGTCCTGCAGTGAATCCTGGACTCTTTGTGCACAGCAGGAGAGGAAGCTGAACACGTTCCATATGTGTTGTCTCCGACACATTTTTATATCACCTGGCAGGACAAAGTTTCAAATAGAGTAGTCCTAGCACAAGCTGGAATTGTTAGCATGTATACATTACTGAAACAGCAACGTCTATGTTGGCTTGGGCATGTTGTGAGAATGGCTGATAGATTCCAAAATATGTCCTGTATGGAGAATTAGTGCAGGGAAATTGCCCCAGAGGAAGACCACAGATGCGATACAAGGACATCTGCAAGCGAGATCTGAAGGCCTTAGGAATAGACCTCAACAGATGGGAAACCCTGACATCTGAGTGCTCAGCCTGGAGGCAGGCGTTGCATCACAGCCTCTCCCAATTTGAAGAGACCCTTGTCCAGCAGGCCAAGGCAAAGAGGAAGTCACAAAAGCAGCAAAACCAGGGAGCTGGACAGGAGACAGATTGTATTTGTCTTCAGTGTGGAAGGGATTGTCACTCTCGAATTGCCCTTCTTATTTACACTAGATGCTGTTCTAAGTCTTCCAAACAGAGCACGTTAGGATGCCTAATCTATACCAAAGAAAGAAAGAAAATCTCTTATAGCTTGGGAAATGAATAATTTGTAGCTTGATTACAAAGAGGGAATCTGTGATCAGCCTCTTGGCACTTATTATGCTATGGTATATTATGTTCTGTCAAGTCCTTTCCTACTTGGCCCAAATAAGGTTTCCAAGCTATTTGAGATATTTAAGGAGTGGTTTTACCAGTGCCACCCCTCCGGGTGAGTTTCCATGGCCAAACAAGGATTGGAACTCAGGTCTCCTGAATCCTAAAACATCACTCTTTCTAGCACACTACGCCGGCTCTCTCTGTCACTTGAGCTCTTGGGTTCATTAAGCCTTGTTCAAGAAGCAGGACACCCTGGGAGAAATGTAAGGCAGGGACGAATCTGGGTTCCTTTATCAAGTCCCTAATCGTACCTACCTGGAAAGCATCCCTTAATTACCACTTTCATTTGCTTTGTGGCCTACAGCTCTTCCGGAATGCCCTCAATTAATTCCTTGTACCACTGGAATTGCATTTGCCAACGATGGACATGCTGAGTGAATATTTAAGTAGCGTGTGATGGAAAGCAGGCTGATTTGTAAGCTTCTATACTCTAATTTTGTATACTCTCTCTCGCTCTCTCACACACACACACACACACACACACACACACACACACACACACACACACACACACAGAGAGAGAGAGAGAGAGAGAGAGAGAGAGTTTATTTATAAATGGGCACAACGGAAGCGTGAGAATGACTTAGGAGAGAGAACCCTGGCCGGAAAGCTGTATCTCTCCTCTCATTAACACATACACATATCCAAATCCTGAGCGTATAAAGCTGGCTTGCATTTTACATCTTTTCTGCTTCCTGATCAAGCACACATGGGAAAAAATGAGCTAGATCCGTGGGAAGGGAACAAAAATTAAAAGACAGTATGCCCAAAGTCTCCTGCTATCACTATCAGGGCTTCCTAAACTGATCTTTGATTTTGTGATGCAATTCCCCATCCTCACTAGTTAAATAGTCAATATATATAAATTTATAATTTTTATTTATGTATTTATTTATTTATTATGGTCACGTGACCAGCTCGTAAAACATATTATATGGTTAAAATATATAAAATGCAAATAAAAGAGTGTAGAACAGATAATTAATTGTATAGTAGTTATTTGGGGAGAATCATTTAAATAGTTGCTGCTTGTCTTTCTCATCCTGCATCACTCATCAGACTTGGCGCATGGTGTGGGGCAGCCACACCTTAACTAGCAGCAATTTATCACTAAAATATATATATGCCATTGGACGTAAAGCTGGTGTCACTAAACAGTAGTAGACTATCTATTAAATCAACTCCAGGTTGTTTTTCCTCATTTCATATAATTTTCCCAGTCATCCATTACTTTTCAATCCATTAGTCATCCAGTCCTTAATTTCTCAAATTCATTGATTTAAAAAAATGAATTAAACTTGCTTTGACCGTTAACATACTTGCTAGGCTTATGCTGGCTTTGGTGGTCATAGGTCCTGTTTTCTTCACTTCTTCAGTATTATTTATATTATTGGAATAGCTTTGTACTATTTTATAAACACTTATTTATTTAAATTATTAGTTTCATGATTACGTCAAACAGGGATGTGGATTCATGAGCTAATTTGGCTGTAACTGAAATGGAACTCAAGTTACAAATACTGGAACGTTGATATTCACAAGTTATTAAAACTGCTTCGTTAATTGATTATGACAAAGTTACTGCCAAACAATTTATAATTTATAGTGCAATCTGATTCTTGTCTAATTGAAATAAGTTTGATGAGGCATCCAGCTAAATAAGTAGATACAGGATTGCATCTCTGATTTATAAGTTTTTTTAATGATGTTCCCTTGGTAATTATTTTAGAATTAATCAATGTAATTACGATTATATGATAGCTATGAATCATGCAATAGAAGTCTCAAGTCTTCATAGTCCTAACGACAGTACACCTTGGGATCTGCATAAGTGTTGACTCATCCATTTAAATCAATGGCTTCATTGAATTCAGTAAGTTTAATAAGTTGGCATCACTCTATTAAATTTAAGCCCTATTGCTATTATCAAAGGACCGGTTATTCAAAGAAAAGAAAAATATGAGTTTTTCAAAAACTCTAAAAACTTCTTAATAGCAACAAAAAGCCTGCATGTAAACAGAAAAAGATGAAAGCATTCCTATAGGGGCACCGACCCTATTGGTAATTTATATTTACATGAATGAATGAAAGCAAGATCTTTAAAACCTAGATTTCTCTGATTATTGGGAAATGAATGGTTTATTTCATTAATTAGAACTGTTTTCATATTACATTATCAGTATTATCATTCCATTATGATTTCAATGAAAAGGATAATGAATTATATACTAAGGGTGGTTCATTTACTTATCCAACCTGTTAGGAAAGCAAACAGCTTCAGCATGAGTTGAGTGATGTATTCAATGAAGCATCAATAGATCCATTATGAAGTCACCATGTTTGTCACTGTCATTGTTCTCATCATTGACTTTGAAGTTGAGTCTCAAAAGGGATTAGAGGAAGTCAACCTTTTCCTTGAAAACCAACTTTTCAGAAGATTTCCCTTGGCCTCATGTTCAGTCCTCTTCACAACTGCACAATTTCCATTTAATTCAGTGGGGCGTGAATTTGCTTCTGCACGAAACCCATGGATAGGCTTGCAAATTCTGTGAGAATTCTTTCATTGCCATGTTGACTAGGAGATTTGTCCAAAAACAGAGAAACTTTTGTAGCTCTGTTTTAAGTGGCAACTCAGACTGGACATCTAAGCACAGCCCATCTAGAGACTGGCCTCTCAAACTCAGAAAAACAACAAAGACACAAGAGAAGTTGTTTAAACCACCACAGCTTTATTAAAGAACAATGGTGAAGTGATAATAGCTTAGAACTACAGCGGTGGAAGGGACCCAATAGATCATCAGGTCCAGCCCCTATCAAGGAGGCCTAAACCACAGAGCTTATCCAGCAGTATAGCCTTCAAAGCCATGATGTTTGTGGGCTTAGTCTCTTTCAAATTGTAGCCTCTAAAACACCCACAGTTTAGCTCTTCTTGAGTTCCCAACCAAGGTGGGGCAGCCCAAGAGGAAGGCAGTGCAGAGAAGGCAAAAACCCGTTAACCTCCAAGGCCAATTTGGGTTGAACAGGGAAAAATTCCTTCTCGGCTCCAATAGAGGCAACCAGCTGTGCCTGCACTGCCAGGATAAAAAGTGGGGGAGGCATTCCATCAATCTCTGGATTGTGCCCCTTCATTTCTATTCAGTCATCTGATTCTCCCCCACCCCACTCTGCAGCCCAGGGATCAATGGGCCTATTGTTGGGCACTGTGATGTATCTCACCACCAGTCTGCCTCGTTGTCTTAGACGCCAATCTGCAAAAGAAGAGATCAGCACAAGCCATGAAATTTCATGAATGTAGAAGATTCCATATGTTCATAGAGAAGTCCATGTCATAACCCCCATGCCAGCGACAGCCCAGATGAGGTCAGAAGCCATCTTGAGACACAGTTTTCTGACTTCTCAGATGACTTCTATGACAAATAATGGATCATTCATTGAAGCCAGTGTTACTGTCATAATTACCTACCCCACCAAAAAGACGTGATTCAATGTGAGATTGTCTTGGCCTCTCAGTGAAGTATGGAACCTTAAAAGAGCAGAATACAACTCTGTCAAATGGCTAAATTGCGGACAGTGAACATCCCCAAATCTCTACAGCATGCACAATACAAAGGGAACAACAGGGAGGTGGCCACCTCTACTTGAAGCATAGATCCTATCTGGACAAGGTCTTCTAAATGTCCTCATCCCAAGAGAAACATGGACCCTAAATTAAAAAGAAGACAACTCTGTCAATTGACTAGATAGTAGAACAATGACATCTCTGATGTAAAATGCCTACATCATGGCGCCACTCAAGCAATGGAGAGATGGTCAACCCCTATTTGACAGCCACTCACCAAATTCTTGCTTTCTTGACTCATGGGTCCTCTTCAGACAGAGTCTTCTCCATGTCCTCTTCACAGAGGAAACAGTTGTGTGTATGAGTAGGAAGGCCACAACAGGTCTATGACATCAGATAAGAATTCCTTTAGCTCAGAAGGAACCAGAGGAACAAATTTTTTTCCTCACAAGGTGATACTCACAGAACTGACTGATCCAGGTGTAAGGGTGTTGCTCCTTCCTCCACTTCTACATGACCTGTAAAAAAGCATGGACATCCTTTGTGAAATCTTCTGACGGTGCCTATTCTGATCACAAAGAGAAAAGATTGAATTCATCCAATCTTACTCACCAGCTGGTTCTGGTTTCAATCGAGTCACTGCACTTCTGCTTCTCCGAACAAGACTTCTTGGCCAATGGAATTCGGATTCCCACCAAGAACAGAGTCCTGGCAGCAACCCAACATATACTTACCTTGCTGTAAGATCCATTGAGCTCAGTGGGCCTTACCTGCATGGGACTGGGCAAACCTCAGAGAAGCTGTGATCCCTGGAGAGTCTAAGGGCAAATGAGCAAGACACATGTGGTGCAATGGGCCTATTGTTGTGGACTGTGATGTATCTCACCACCAGTTTGCCTCGTTGTCTTGGACACCAACCTGTAAAAGAAGAGATCATCTCAAGCCATGGAATCTCATGAATGTAGAAGATTCCATATGTTCATAGATAAGTCCATGTCATAACCCCCATGCCAACGACTGCCCAGATGAGGTCAGAAGCCATCTTGAGACACAGTTTTCTGACATCCGAGAGGATTTCTATGACAAATAATGGATCATTTGTTGAAGCCAGTGTTGCTGTCATAATGACCTACCCCACCAAAAAGACGTGAACCGTCGTGAGATTGTCTTGGCCTCTCAGTGAAGGATGGAACCTTAAAAAAGCAGAATACAACTCTGTCACATAGCTAGATTGCGGACAGTGAACATCCCCAAATGTCTACAGCATCCACAGTACAAAGGGAACAACAGGGAGGTGGTCACCTGTACTTGATGCATAGATCCTATGCAGAGAAGGCCTTCTTTGTGTCCTCGTCCCAAGAGAAACATGGACCCTAAACTAAACAGAAGACAGCTCTGTCAATGCCTACATCATGGTAACACTCAAACA